ACATGAAGTGAGTTAGGTAGCTCAAATGCTGAAGGAAATCTTAAAGAGAAAAGAAAGAGGAAAAACAGAAACACTACAAGATTATTTTGTGAAATTCTGTTAGTACTGGGGATTAAAAACCTCTAAAACTGTACAGTGTTTTTCCATGTTTGCTGGCATTCTGGAGTTTATCCAAAGAGTCACTTAATACTCATACAATTATGTTAAGTACAATATAAACAAGAAGAAAATTGTTTTAGACATCTTTATTATTTAATAACACAAAGGCAGGAGTTATTGCTCTAAGGATGTATCGAGAACCCAGGATTCCAGCTGTAAAACTCAGAGCATGACAGTAACATATTAACACAATGGTGATAGACAAGAAATATCGAAATACTAACTGCAGAATAGCAAGAGGCTTTTTTGTTTGGTTTTTGCTTTTGTTTTGGCGTGTTTGTTGGGTTTTTTCCCCCTAATTGTGATGGGAAAGAGTAAAGTCATTTTAGCAACTGAGACAGTAACATGAGAAACAGTTCTCAGTGCCCCTGTTTTACTTTACTGTAGGTATTCAGCATTCGTAAGTATTTGATGGTCCTCAATTTACCTTCTGCTACAGAACAAAATGACCAAAAACTGTGGCTGAGGCAAGTACACCTATTAAGCATAAAAGGTATCAGACCTTAATTGGACTAGAAGTTAGAAAAACAGGTATTTTCAACTAAAAGCACTGCTGGCACAGATCTCTAGCCACAGATGTTAGTATTCATTTCTGAGACTCACAGATGTTCAGCTTTTGACTTCTAGATTACTCCTGTTCAGCACACAATTCATGTCCGTACCTGTAACAACTACTCAATTTTAATTTCATCACATACACATTTCCACATATTATAAGAAAATAGAATTGAATTTGATACATTAAACTGATTTCTTTTTAAACTTCAAAGTTCACAAGTGTTACTGTGGTTGCATAGTTAAACACATGCATCAGACTATCAGTTTCTAAAAATACCATGTTATAAATTCAGCACTTTACTTGATAACCACAGAAGAAGCAAGACAAAGAAGTTTGATATTCACAATAAAAAAAAATATTAAAAAGCCATCCAACAGAAAGCTAAATTTCAGAAAGTTCAGTGAAAATGGCTCACTACATAAGTATGTACTTAAACAGCACCATCTGAACAATTATTTTTAGAATGTACTAGGACTGCAATGCATTCCAGCATAGTAAGAAGTCACAACTGCCATGAAGCAGTAGCCTCAGGGCTATATTAAGACTATTCAACAATTTAAACAAGCTAGTGAATATAACAAAAGATCTAGGCATTAGTTAGAAAGCAATGTTTTGTGGTAACTGATTTAAGAAATTAATTGGATTCAAGCACAAGCATCTGACTAGTTTACTCCAATTGCCAGAAGCAGAAAACAGAAAAATAAAAGTGCTCTTTACCTACTGCCAGAGGGTCTAGTTCACACTCCTGCCACCCATTCTCACACTCAGCTCAAGAATAAAACTTTCCCCTTTCCTAATCTAAACATTAAAAGTCAGTCCTAGTCTTCAAAACTAATTTCCTATAGTGAGAACAACAAAAGTACATGGGCATGTGCATGTGTTGTTCACTACTGCCAAACATAAGGTTTTTATTTGAGATCTCCCAAGATATTTAATTAAGTTCAGCTACAGAATACCTTAGGGAGAAAACAACTGAAAGCTTTCTGCTTTCTAACAAATAACTTCTCACTCTTAAAGCAAAAGTTGAGTTTTTTCCACTTTCATAGCTCTCAACACTTCCAACATACCTTTTTGCAACCTAAAACCACAGGAAACCTCAAAAGATGCACTACTTCCCATTTTGCCCATTGTGACATTTTGGCTTAAATTTATTTTTAAGTAGACCTGGAGAGGTAGAAGCCTAATTAAACAGCATTTTCAAAAGAAGCTTTATTAATATTATTTCTAATCATTTTAATGTAAGTAGAAAAAGCTTTACAAATATAACAGTCTTAACCACAGCAGAACCCTGTTTCACAGATTCACGTGGCATCTCCTATGGAAGGGACAGTAAGATCCGATCACATTATTAGACCTGTAAACTCTTAATCTTGGATTTACTGACTTATCTTCAGATAGGAAGATGCCAGGTTTAGGTTTTATAAAAGTCATCTATATGACACTGTAACAAAAGGAATGTGGGAGGCAAAACGTTTCCTAAAGAACAATGCATTAGAAGTAACTTTCTGCCTAGGCCTCCATTTCTAGGGTGGCTCTGTGTGATGGAAAAAGGAGTCATTTCCCATTTTTGTCAGGAGATCCTGCTTAAGGAAGGCCAAGATCCAAACCCAGTCATCTTCCAGCAACATAAATGGCTGTCAAGATCTTCTGCTGAAGGCTTGTGATGCAGTATAAAGGTTAGAAGGTGTCCTGAAGCAATTTGGAGGGAATGAAGAGGGAGAGAAGAGTCACGAGATGTACCAAAGTAATAAAGCACGTAACATAGTTCCAAATGACTTCAACTCAGCACCAAAGAGGAACTGGTAAAATCTCCTTCGAATTTCATTGCCAGTTTTCAAGTGATTCCTTTTGCTAAAAATCAAAAGGGAATTTAGAATAAACTTCCTCTGCCAGCAACGACATAGCTGGAAAAAAAAAGGTCTGACTGTGGGCTACTGATGTTTGCAAGGAAGAGGCTGTCACTCGGCACAGCATGAAGCGAGAAAAGCAGAATTTACCTGAGCTGATTCCCTTTCTTTGGGCCTGAGGGATTGCTGATCATGTGGGTTAGCAGCATATCCCCTTAAATCAGAGTATTCCAGTCTCTTTCCTTCCCATGGACAAAGGAACAGGATTTTACAAACCCAGCAGCCACAGGCTCCTCAAAAGGAAGAATGTATTTACACATTTAGAACTAGGGAACTTCTTCAGTGCTGGGAATTCAGTCAGATTTCAAACTGATTGGGCAGCTTCCACCTTACAGCACATTCAAACCTAGCACTAGTGTAAAGAGACAGGGAGGAGACGAAAATTGCATGGCTATGGGGCCATACACAATCACTGGCCTTATCTTGGCCCCAGCCACCAGTTTCTACTTGATGTAGTTTCCTGTCTAAAGAAGGGTCACACCAAGAATGTCATTAGTGCTTCACAGAACTGAAGTACAAATATGACCCATGGACAGGAAGCTTATACAGAGGCATAAAGAACATTCTTTCCAAGTGCTCAGAGCATTTTTTTCTCCTCTCTCTCTCCCCCACACTTTTTCTTTAAGCTGCTCACATTCTTTCCCTCTCTCAGCCTAGAGAAGTGGAAGGCAACATCAACAAAAAATGCACAGAGAAACACCATAAAGTCCATCCTTCACACCTGAGCGGATGGCAGTTCAAAGGGGCCCTACCTACCTGCAACCCTGTTGTTTGCTTCAAGAACTCTGTTTGCCCAAGGAAAAAGAGACGAGCAAATCCTGGAAGCAGATCCTTCCCCAAAGGAAGTTTCTTTCTGAGTCTGCAACCTGGAGATTTTGCTTGAGACTCAGTCCTCTGAGCGGATTCTTTCTTTCTTCAAACTCTCACACTGGTTCTTTACTTTTGTGGGCAGCTGGAAAAAGAATGAAGCCGTAGGCTGAGGCAGGGACTCCATACTTCCAGGATAGGGAGGCAGAAGGACTGGAGGGGAAGGAAAAGTGCTAGTTGGTAACTTCTTGGATAATGACCTGCATTTCCTCATTTTCTGCCACACAGAGACATACACATAGTCACTGCAATAGGGGAGGATGACAAGAGATGGGTACTAGACATGCAGTGTTTTCATGCTCTGATGCCAAAAAACCCCAAACCCATAGTGTTGAGCTGTGAACTTTCAAGACTTTTAAGACATCTACCAATAGACGAGATCAATCATAAGATGTTTTGTCCAGAAAGTTCTCTCAGTTTGTTGCAAGTAGATGTAGGTGGGGGTGAAAAAAAATTTAAGTGCTCATTTCTTGGAAAAAAATCCAAATCTCTCCTCTGTTCACTTGCTCTCAAATGAATTAAAAATGGCATCTATTGCAAAGCAGTGAACGTCTCCCCATAATCTCTTCAAGAAAAAAATCATCATACTTACCTGAATGTTTCCCTCACCAAAGACTTCCTAACACCACTCCCAACTCTTCTGTAAAGGCCTTACTCCAATCTCAAGTCTTCTACTTTATTTGCAAAATCAGATTGATCTAACACTGACAGCAGTTTAATGCTGTTAAGACAAACTCATATTTAACCCAGGCACATGATGATTGCTGTGGAAGCTAAGAACCTACCCAAGGTACTGCATCAGGTTTGTGGATTTCTAAAATATTCCTCTTTTTCCCTGAAAACCTAGATGTCCTGGGACTTAACTGTCATTACTTGAACAACAAAAATATAATGCATAAGAGAGCTGAAATTTTCTTCACAAATACTGAAAGCTGCTAAGTCTCCTGTGAAATTTTATCAGTATCATGGAGCCAATATACAACAAAATAGAACCAGAAGTCACTGGACTGAAAACAGTTATATGTACAGCTGCTCACATATGCATTTACTGGTTGTTATCCATTACAGTACCTTCTGCACAGCAGCACAGTGTATGGCATTTGCATGTAGGGCAGCCACTGAGCTATGCGCCTCAGATGAGGCACCATCATTTTACCTAGAGTGCTCTTCTTTGCTCTTAAGACACCAGGTAGAGTATGATCCAATAGTTAACCAAGAAGGTACATTACTCATTATGTTTGATGCAATTTCACTTAATTCATTTTGGGGCAATTGGTGGTGTTTCTTGATCCTCTCCTTTAGAGCGCACACCTAAACAAAATAGCTTCATATGGTTAGGTACCTCACATGTTCTTCAAATGCAAGTTTCCCCTGTTCAAAGAAGCTTTCTTTCATTGTGCTTAAAATAATACAAGAACATGGGAAAAGAAATGCTAGGTTTTGTCATTAAAACCACAGCAATTTTTGCAGTTTGAGGAGCATACAGGATTTTTTTTTTTCCTTTAAAGTGACAGATAAAGCCATCAAGGACAGACCCTGATATGCTACAGTAATTAAAACAGAAAAATCAGCAAACTGCTTCCAGAGAAACTGCTTGTGCATGCAGAAGGATACTCTGCTTCTTGGTTCCTCCAAGGACACTGAATATGGTGATGGTATCTCAATCTAAGGTAAGAGGTTTTATTCTAAATAAAGTGTTTCACATAAATAATAGGATTAGTTGTTTCTGAGTGGAATTTCATGACTTCTCAACAACATGAGACCAAGATGTGTTCCTATACCTTTCCATTTGACAAGCCATTGCTTTTTTGATTATTTCAGACCATCTTTCAAAGATTAGAGAGGCAGGTTCAGTCTTTTCATCCCATATGCATGTTTTTGTAAAAGGAGGTCCTCTTGTTTGGAAAGAATAACTGATGAACAAACACATAAATGTACTTGGCCAAGAGATGTCTCCAGGTTGATGTTTGTACTCCCTTCTTCCGGTAAAGGAGAGGACACAAGATAAAAACGAAAGAGAAAATACAACAAACAGAACATGTTGAATCCAAGTTTTTACTGCTCTGTACTTGCTGGCTAAGAAAAATGTCATGAAAGGACAATAGCAGTAAAAGCACATTTCTTCTACAAGACTCTTGTGAATAGAATGTTCTTTTTAATCAGATAACTTGAAAAGTCCCTGAGATTCAAGGTATTGCAAGTTGCTAATACTAATTACTTACAAGTCATAATTACAATGCCATACACAGCACTACAGGCTCAATTTCTGATGATGCATTGAAGCTTACTAATACTTCTGAAGTCAATACTCCTTTCCAGTTCAAAGCAACAGAAGGTATCAGAGCAAATCAGTTCAGATGAAGCAGCATGGTTTCTTGCAAACAGGAATCTGCCTAAGGCCTCTGTGAGAAAACCTCCTTCACAGCAGAAGATGCTGCTCACTGGAAAAAGACCCCAGATAGCCTTCAATATACTAAACTGTATGAGATCAGGAGCGTAGAAGAGAGGAGTACTTGGTCTTATTTGAGTCATGTATCTTCATAAGCAGAAGAGACAAAGATCCAATGCGAAATTTAAGGAAAAAAAAGGCATTATGAGGACTTCATCTAATGGTGTTTTCCTTACAGAAACAGATTAACAGTTTCTAGAAGATCAATCTGAAGCATGCTGTTAGGAATGACTTGTTTTTAAATTCCTCTTCTTACATCAAGGTCATGGTATCTTTCCAAGAAAAGGAGAATATTTTAATTTTTATCCTTTTGTACGTAATTTTTCCTTTGAACAGACTTGTCTTGAACTGTAAAGAATAAACAAGGCTGGTAACTTCTGTGTTCTAGCTATCAAAACCAGTAGCCTGATTGATTCTTACATACATGTACGTATTTCAGGCTGAAACAAAATCTTCCTGTATTTTGAGATAAGAAATGTTAATGAATGCTCCTTTGCTCTTCTGAAGATTTAAAAGAACAAAAAAAGAGGTTTGGAAAAGAGCATAGAAAGTACCTGAATCCTCCTACAGGAATTTTGGGGAAAGTTTTTTTCTTGCCTCACATCAATCACCAGAAGCAATTCATGCTACCAAGTTGAGATGTTAAACTAGCTTAAGCAGCTGAATATCCAACAGCTCTTCTCAGTCACTGTATTGTCAAGTTTGCTGATTTAGGTCAAGAGCAGGCTCTAATGGGATCCTTTTAGCTGGAGCAGGAAGAATTTATGGTTTTGATGACACAAGAACAACATGTCAGTGATGTTCAGATACAGATAAAGTCAGGAAAGGCAATGGTAGTTCTGTTTGTAAGCATGCGGAAGACAGTAAGGAATCCTATAATCAATATTCTCATCTGCTTTGGGCAAAGAAAGGAATCTCTGCAATGCCTTTCCATAGTGACTTGACTGTTGATAAACACTCCTGGGATGAAAACTCCCTTTAGTGCTTTCTTCCACCTTCCTTCTCTACAGGGCATGTTTCACGGCCAATTCATGAGTGAAGACTAATCTCCATTTTTCTGCATCAGTGAGCAGAAGCTCAATAGGCAAGAAAGGAAAAGTTTAAACAATTGTGAGTAAATTCTACAGAATACCATCTGCAAAACAAGCAAAAAATTGAATCTCCATATTTGGTAAATGGTATAGAATATAAGCAACAATACTTTTTTATTTCTAATACTGCAGCTCCAAGAACTGCAGTATCCAAGTGAAATAACATGGAAACAAAACACAAATTGACATACCTGATTCAAGTTACCAGCAGTCAGATCAAATACTTCTCAACCTTCAAATCAAAACTTTAAAGCAAGATGCAATTTTTTTAGATTTAAGGTGCAACTAGCCACATGGACTTTTTGCAATTCCTAAAATGAAACTTAGTCTAGGTTAAGTAGTTATTGTCCTGCTGCCATTAATCATACCTCTAGAAATATGTGCAGACTGCAAACACACCGCAGAATCTATGCGCCACCATCCAGTTGAACTGTTATTCAAAATAAATATTAGAAGAACAGCAAATTTTAGTAAAACATCTTTCACCTGGAAACTAGCACCAACATAGCATGTGTATTAAAGTATCAACAAGAGTGATATAAGGCTGTTTAAATTGCAAGCTACTGACACTAAGAAAAAACGCTAGTTTTCCAAAACTTCTGGGTTGTTGTTGTTTCGTTTTGGGGTTTTTTTGGGGGAGAGGAGATTTGATTGGAGAGAGGGTAGAAGTCATTGAACATAATAATAACTATACTGGATAATGTTATCCAGTCCCAAGATAGAGAAAAGGCAGCAAAACCATTGGTCAAAGTGTTGATTTTGAAAGATTGTCATGCAACCCTTCACTCAAAGCTAAACGTGCCAACAAACAGAATGGTAGGAATCTTGACTTTCTAAATTTCAGAATGTGTTTTAAAGCATCAGGCCTCTCTCCATAAATGTTTCATGCTCAACTTCTTTGAAGGCCTACTAAAAGCCAGAGGGCCATAGCACTGTCTACTTTATCAGACAAGGCATCAGAAAATACCTACTCAAGACTGGCATAGGTACCAATCCCTCAAAGACCCTTCCTACTGCCAGTTTACGAAAGGCAAAAAGCTATGGCTTTTCTGAACTTAGCATGACAAAGAATTGTGAAATTATGTATAGCTATCACAGCAACACATATTTGAGAAACACAGCCAGTATTTCTTGGCACATATACAACAGCAGGAAAACACTAGAGGCATAAAATTGAATGATTAGTTGATTATAGAAAATACTACCTTGTAAAAATAATTCCCATTAATAGATGCATCAATTTTATACAATTAAAGAAATGGGTATTTGCTAAACAATGTTATAATTATTCTGCCCTTTTAAAAGCTGTTTAGATTGCAAGAATATTTTTAAATATCTTCATTAACAAGCTTTTTACTTCTTGTCAGCTTTTGTGCCAAGTACAGTTGAGAGAAAACCTTTTTTGGTCTAACTAAGCCATGTTTTAAATCAGATTAACAGACTTCACTGGCACCAACATACATTTCTGTCATAAAAACAGACCTTCTTTCACTCTTAGAGAAATTCTGTGCTTCTGGGTAGAGGGCATGAGCCAATATTTAAAAAAAATTAAAAAAAAAACAGAAAACTTTTTTTTAAAGACATCATATGATGCCTATTTGTTCACTTTTTCTGCTTAAGAAAGCTAACTATAGCAGTAAAGGTTACGGTATTTATGTATACCTTGAACTTGGAAAAAAAAATCACATAAAACCTGTAGTTTCTTGTATGAACAGTGCCTTTGTACTTTACTTTGTAGTTTTAAATACATGGCTAGTTTAATTTAATTTGATTCCAATTACAAGCAATTAGGTTACACAAATTTCTTAAACATTTTTTTTTTTTTAAGCACCACTTTTCTTACTGAGTTCTCAATCTTCACATAATTCCTACACTTCTCTGGTCAAAGTCTTTCAGACTGTGTATCTGCAGAACCTGGAAGTGGAAATACCACACATAAGGAATGTTAAGAGGAGTTATTCCAGTACTGTTCAACAGCCACACCACACCAGATGCCCTAATTTTATGAGTTTTTGGGGTAGAGGTAGGGTGGGGTCTAATCTGAATCTTCAGATGAGAATAGCTCAAGGCTTTTCCCTGTAGGTGTTGACCCTTGATCATCTCCTCCATGACTTTCCTCTGGTGTTTGGGACCTCTGGAGAACTCAAATACAGCACAAAAGCCCCTCTCATGCAATTATTTACTCCAATATATATATTTAATAGATTAATATTAACAAAGGGCAATATGGACACACTGGTAAATAAAAGCTAAACAAAGGACCTACTTTTTTAAAGTCACTGGTTTCACAAAGTTTTATTTTGGAAAGTACTCAAAACTTGCGTTTCATATTTGAGCACTTATTAGGTTACTTTCCATACCAAATCCTAATTTCTACAAAGGGTCTAGAGTTTATAAATTTAGTATGCACTCTGACCAACAGGCTTGATCCTTTCCTCATTTTCAGTAGCAGTAAAAACTCTACAGACAAAACTGGAATGAATTTTCTAGTAACTGTTAACTGCTAAGACGGAGTGATGTCAAATGCTATTGTAAGCTGTGTTAGTTCTTCAGCATTAAGAAGTTTGTGATGCAACTGAGGCTTATTTTTGTCTAGCATGAGTTGTTGAGAGTGGAGACAAACTGATTTAGTTGACTTGCAAGTGATGTGCAAGCACACCATAACAGCTCTGCAATATGTAGTCTGACTCTTAGGTTCAAGATACAAGTTTAAAAAGTCTCAGTGCAGTCAGTGATGTTTTAGATCAGAATTACACTTTCTATTTTTACCTAGTATGTGTTAACAGTACACGAGAAAAGCATTCTAGATTATCTTGTACTGCTACCACCATAGAAAACATGCTGTCTTTCATTAGCTAATTAAAAGTTTTCTGAAGAATTGCTGACTTAACTTTCCTTATTGAACTAGTGCTTCAAATTCACCCACATTTCAGTATTAAATAAGACCACCACAAGTTTTATTTTAAAAATGTTTATCAGTCAGCTGAGGTAAAGGCCATTTGAAATGTATCATTTTGCTCTGCTTAAGTAAAAACTGTTTGCATTGAGTTGTCCCTTTATCTTCCCTCCATGCAAGCACCTTCACACCTACGTGCTTTGATCAGCCACAACTCCCAGCTTCTGCACTAGACACGATTAACTTTGGCAGTGCCTCTTCACAGGCATACCCGTGTGCAGTGTTTGACTGTCATTCTGTACCTGTTGAAATATTAGTATTTGGTTTAGGTTGTGTGCAAGAACAAAAAAAACAGTATCAAGTCACACATAAAAGAATACATACAAAACCACAAAAAGACTATTCCTAGCCTAGGCTTACTATTTTCACAAAATTATTCAGAACAGGGGAAAAGACAAGACATCAAACATCTGTACCAAAATAGAAACTTACCCCACTGACTGATCTGTGTTGGAGAGTGTCTAACCATATTCTGAATGTCATAGGACCCTCTTTCCTTCACTTGAGTCAAGATTTCATTGACAAAAATAACCACAATCCAGGGCAGATAAAAAATAGCTTCCCACGCGCTCAGGCAAACACACGAGACACTACCATAGAATTATTACGGTTGGAAAAGACTTCTGAATTCTCTTGAAAAAAACCACCACCATTTGGATCATTACTGAACATTTCTGTATATGATTGGTATCTACAACGTGCATAGTTCATTTAGAAGTAAGACAACATACAACAGAGAGATTCTTGACACGACTCTTTTACCATGAAATTAGTTGCTTGATCTGATTTCTGCACCAAATAAATGTAAAGGTCAGTGTTTCCTCAGAAGAGTTGTTATATTTAATAAAACCTTTCTACCTGTAAATTCCTAAGATCAACTCTCTTATTAAAGTCCAACATGTCTCCTTTCTTTCCATTTTCTTTTAAAGGCGAGATTCTAAAATTAGTTTGCAGCAGGACTGAAGAGATCTGTATTTAAAGTTATCCGGTTTTAGCTGTATATTATAAGCAAAGTATTGTATTTTCTACTAAATAGCTTTTTAGCCACCAAAAAAAAATTAAAAAAAACCTCACAAACATTCCATGCTGCTGTTACTTCTACATACTCTTAAATTAAGTGAAACTCCATCTTGTAGTTTACCAAGATGTACAAAAAGGAAACCACAGTGCACGTGACAAAGGTTGACACAGCCAACATAAAGAAAACTGCAGAGATGCCTAGTAAAGTCTTTAACTGTCAGCACGTGTTCAAAATCCATTCTCTAGAGGCTGTAGTTAAGCATTACATTCTATAGAATGCAACTGAGAATGAGTCCGTATTTTTTAAGTGTAGTTACTCTTCCAAACAGCTATTTCCCCAAGTTTAAAATGATTCTTAATTCATAGTTTAGTATCTGCATAACTGAAAGCCCCACAAGCATTTAGCAAACTAGGCCAGAGTTTAATATTGCGTAGCTGCGTTTTTGCTCCTCCTTTTTTTTGATGGCCAAGCATATTATTACTTTACACGTATAATTTTACACATGCACATCAAGTAATTTTCTACTCTTTTACTTCTTAATTGTTTTTATTGTAGACTTCAGTCCAACAGAAACACAACTGCTATCAAGATGTGACTTACTGTAACAGTCTGCTACTCCTAGCTGGGCGATGTTTGAATATCCTTCTTCCAAGTCATCAGAGAATTTCCATTTACCAGTCAAGTTCTTTCATTCTATTTTATAAAATAAAGCATGCATATATATCTAAGCAGCCTTCATAACAGAAGAATCATATATGGTACCCAAAAATATGCATTCTAATGGTACTTGGAATAGGCAACTGCACAACTTTGTTGAAGAGAAGCTATAGAAGTATTTGGGTGAGCACACAACGTCACACTTCAGTACAGCATTAAGATTTTTTTCCCCCCAGATGAATTAAATGCAGATTTCAGAATTACAGCATATTCAACCTATGCTTTTCTGGCAATGTATCTTGACTCAATCTTTTAATTTTTTTGCTCTCTCTTGTACATGTAAAATACACAGACCGAAAAAGGGGTGCCATAGAAAAGACAAAAGCACTAACAAAATACTGATTCATTAAGTACCACAATCAAATAATAACTTGGTTTCATACTTAATATGGCTCACTACAGTGAAGTGCAATGAGACATATACTCTGCATTAGTGAAAATTACTTGGACGATGCCTCCCAACTCCAAAGTGGGGGCAGAGAGCACTTGGGGGGGCTGAGGAGGAGGACATGAGAAAGGGTACAACTCCACAGCTCCAGGGGAGCCCCTTGATCACTGTCAGAAGCACGTACATTGGCAGACTGTTCTAAAAGAGCCAATAATTTAACCATAATAATCTTGGCCTTCAAGAAAATGAATCATTAACTGCACAGTACAGATTTTTGAACTCCACTATATCTAGAGTTTTCAACTGTAGCAAAACAATACTGAGTACAGATTAAAAAAAAGTATGCAAATATATGACAGGCATTGGAACTGATGATCTTCGAGGTCTCTTGCAATCCAAACCATTCTACAGTTCTATGAATCTAACTGCAACTTAATAAGCAGTGGTAAAAGACATTATTGAGAAAGTTTAAGTATTTTAAAGGGAAAGAGACAAAATGTAAACCTTAACATTCTTCTCACTACACACTACCAACCCATCTTCTCTTTCCCCATCCATTCCCCAGCATGCATTAACACGTATTCCTTCCCTCTTCTTCATCACTGATATCAGAGCAAATGGTTATTCTGAGCAGTGTCCTAGATAATAATTTTTAAAAAATTATGCCTGTGTAGCAGCTTGCAGTCAGAGAAGTCACTATCATCTCACTACCCTGTTTTCCAATTATCCTAAGGCAGATTTAAACTACCACTCCCCATTCATTTGCACTATGTATATGTAGTGTATACAAAGTTAGTCTGAAATAAAAACATGATACTATGGACAAGGACGTCAGTAACCCATCTCCACGCAGCCTAGTCATAAAGTACACAATCCAATGGGAGGAACCAGAGTTACTATGAGGAAGCAGAATTCACACAAACTTAGCAATCTGTTTCAGAACTGGAGTTAGCAATAAACGCAAAACCCTACAAGTTACAGGAAAAGAGGGCTCATAGCTATCATAACAATTATCTTGTCTCTACATTTTATTAGAATTATTAATTTTGTTCAGAAAATTACTAGAAGTTAATAGAAATCTATTTAGTTTACATAAACAGTTTGGAACTCCATAAACTTACAAATTTCTAGTTATTACATTTAAACAGTTTGCAATGATAAATCTCTCACACTCAATAAGATTATTGCCCAGTACACATAATTTAATCTCAGTTTTGACTGGGTCTTCAAGAACAAAACAAAAACTAAAATAACAAAAAAAAAAAAAAAAACAAAAACAAAAACAAAAAAAACAAACAAACAAACAAACAAAAAAAAACAAACAAGTATCTCTGCTGCATGTTCCCTACAAAACAACTTCTGAAGCCCCTATTCATCTTAAACCCAGCGTGACACCTCCAAAAACAGGAGAATGGAACAATGGAGTAGATCAGCATGGCCCTGTATTTGCCTCCACAAGTACAAGGGAAGGGACAGCAAGAGGCATCCCCAACATTACTCATTCTGATGGACAACCACCAGCTATCCAGGTAACACACCTCGAGTGGAGAGAGCAGTAGCCCAGGCAGGGTTTGGTTTTTTTTCAGTCACTCAGCAAGCCAAAATGCACAAAGGGAAACTTCAGTGGGGAACACAGAAGAGATACAAGGAGAAATTAAATTACTGGGGACAAAGGGAAGAGCAGCATGGCAATAAGAAAAGGGTAACTGCAGTGCCACAGTCATAGAGACTTCTGATAGAAATCTCTGCAAGTCCTACACGCAGTGGTTTTTTTGTTGTTTTTTTTTTTTTTTTCTTTTTTAACTCCAGTATTCAGGGAACTTTTTGTTTGTTTCTCAAATATTAAACGAAAATACCCAGGGGGCAAACAAATTTAAAGTAAAATCTTTTAAGGTTAGTTCCTACATCCTACACTCCCCTGGTGTAGCAGAACCACTGACAGGACTGAACTCCACTGACTTCAATGCTCTTGAAGCATTAACTTTATTCATTTATGAAGCCATTGGCAGGACTGGAGCCAGTGTTATGGGTATAACACTTAGGCTTCAACATTAGCCTGACTATTGCATCAGCCATGCTATTTTTAAGTACAATTCAGCTTCTCTTTCACAATCTGATGCAAGCCTATATAGTTTTTAGTTTGTTTTTAAACACTGTTCCAATGCAATTTTGTTCAACGCTACCTTATTTGCCAAATATTTAAGAGCCCTTCCAATATCATACATCTACCAGTGGGAACATTCATTAACAGCAAGGATTACTACGCTTGACAAGAGACCTGCTAATATTAAAATCTATCCTTCTAAATAATATGTAAAGCTGGCAAAAACATTTTTTGCCATTACTTCCATTTTACTACTTGTAGGCCATATGAAGGACAGTATAAAAATGTTTGACATCACTGTGCAAAATATTGAAAAGGCATCACAGGTACTAAACCTTGAAACCAAAACTTTTCTAACAGAGATACACAATAAAACAAATATAAAAAAGGCACAAGAATTTACAATGAAAATTTTGAAAAATCAGATTATATCTAGGTTTAAAACAATCAAAGCAAGAGGATTCTCTGAAAGAGAGTTGTCAGTCTTAAAAACTTACAACCACTACATGCTTTTTTATGCTCTTTTTTAAAGAGCCTGATAGTTGAATTTACAGCTCATAACTTTAATGTAATTTTAACTCTGAATTTGCACATGCACTTTTCTGGATGATCAATGAACACATCAGCACTTACCAGAGCTGGCAATCAAGCATTTAGAACAAATTAGGCTCTGTCAAGAATATTTTGCAACAGATATAATTGTTCCCCACATTTGTTTTAATTGCACATACTGGGGGAAAAAAAACATTAAGTTCCCAGTTCTTAAGTACCCAACGTTTTAGAAATCTCTTCCTCTTTAATCAACCAAAGTACAAATGGTTTGAATGTGTTCACCGACTACAAATGGTTTTGAGTGCCCAGTTTGAAGTATCCTTGTCCCAGTTTCAGGAGGATTCTTCCTCTGAGACCACCAGTATGAGTGTGTTTTAGAAAAATATGAAGTGAGACCTAGTCTGTGCTAGAATAAGGATCACTCAAGAAACAGCATGAAATAAAGAATCAACTAAAATCAAAGTGGTTTTATTAGAACACAATCCTATAAAAAAAAGAAAATGGAATGCTTTGGTTTTGGTTCATCTAACACAAACCAAAGTCTGAAATACTTCCAAAGAAGCAAAACCACATTTATGAGACATTTATGAAAGGTAGTGCAATACTCTCTCAGAACTCAACAAGCTCAGCTAAAAGGCTAGTTAAAAAAGAAGAATTTTGGAATTCTCAACACTGCAGAAGAAATGCAACAGAATGTCTTAGGCAGTTTTGCTGAGCTTTCCCCAGTTCCTATACTGTGTATCTAAAGAAGTGTCTTCCTACAGTTTTCAGATAGTTTACAACCTCAGAAAACATTTTAGAGTCTGATTTGTCAGGTAACTTAACTCAGTTAGGAAGTTAGAATCATTGGTTTATTTCTCATGCTAACTTGATCCTTAGATCTGCTTTCATTTTCATCAAGGTACACTCGGGATGACATCTGAAATATTGGCAATTTCTCAGCCATAACACTAATATCTCTTAAAAACGCATGATGGGAAAACAGGTTAATCATTTGTGAAACTTCTGATGTCATGATGAAACCACTGGTCCCCAAAATAGAGAACCTGGCAAAGGGAAGACAGACAGACTTACAAATACCCAGCTCTCCTGTTTCTTTTAATTCTTAACGTCCAAGCATTTTTAAAAGTTTCACAGAAGTTCATGAAAAGGTAATCATCAGGCACACGACCGGGTGTTTGAAGAGGGACATGCAGTTGCAATTACTCCACCTTTGTTTTGCCTCAAGTTCTCAAGTTATCTACCAAAGCCATTTAGCAATTCAACAAACAGGAAAAAGAATGGTTAGAATAAATCTGAACCATGATTCAAAAGCATATTCCATTTCCTTGGCTCCAATACATCCACTCCGGTCTGCTTACTGGCCAAAGTAAAACCACACAAAAACCTAACAAGTTCTGAATTACTACAATAACGATACTCTAAGTATGTTATTTGCACTCCATCATGCACTTATGCCACATTCTCTACTAGGTCAGAAGACACAAAATGAGGAAAAGAAAGTGATGAACAGAAACTTCCCCAAGCTAGAACATGCAGAAACAGTTAAGTCTGAAGTACCTCATTAGGCCTAGTGAACCCCTGAAAGCTAGAGATGAATGCAGCAAGTCCAATGGATGTCCCTCCCCTTGTGTGATGATCTCACCTATCCAGCTGCTGCTTCTTCTAGGAGGAGTATCAGAGCCTGCACAAGGTGACAGCTGTCCAGAAGCTTGTAGGTTGCTGCCCAAAGCAACAAGTTCACAGTATACTACAAAAAGTGGAAGAGCTGACAGACAACAGCAGGTTCTCCTGCAATACTCTGCCAAACTTTACAGTTCTTTACTTCAAGTTCATGCTCCCCTGTACAAGTACCAATGAAAAGAAATTCAAACACAAGAACAAAACTAAGATTTTTTTCTTTCCTTAGGTGCCTCCCCCAAAATACACATAACAAAATTAAAAATCCCTCAATCCTAAAGGGCTGAACTCATGGCAGCTTTGCTGAT